GTTGCATTACATGTCTTGACAAAAAGTATTGTTTATGTCTACATAACCTAACATGTTGGTCTTGATTCTTTTACTGCAGTTCTTGAGACAGACCAGCCCTATAGGGTTATTTGGTTACAAATAGGGTCTGTTGATCAGGAAACAGGGCTGTTTTGCTTCTAGCAACCTTCAACTTGTTATAAAGTCCCTCCAGTTCTTGTTCCTTCCAGTGCAACAATTTCTCTTTTAATTTGTTTTAGAGGTACAAGAGTGGCTTTCACTCTGATTTTTTGCCTTTCCATAACAGGCTTCTCAGCAGTGGTCTTATGAAAGTGTGTAGAAGATTATTTTTGCCTGTGTGGGACAAGTTCCTCTTAAGTGTGCTAGGGTCTTTCCTTTTAGGTATTCATCTTAACCTGTCAACAAATACTCTTTTATGCTGAGCAATATTCTAAGGGCATCTCATGTTGTTGTCAGCATTGAATTAGTCACACATTTTGAAACATACATATAACATCAGAAGACCACTGCACTGCAACTTTTACGTGACTAGATGATTATCATGCACTCCCTGCTTTCAGTTAAATGTTGGTGAGTGCAAAGTAATTCAGTATTTCAGATAACCCTTCTTAGCTGTATTTGCTAAATGTCCTGTCAGTTAGAGTACTGCGTAACTGTAGCTCCTCAAAACAGGTATTGTCAAACCAAGGCAGCAGTAGTAAAGGAATGTCAGAGGCATGTCTCCAGCAGAGATTTTCTGTATGTCTCTGTTAGTCAAGGGGTCAAAGAGCAGAGTACCCCTGCCTGCACAATTGGGATGTCAGCTTTGCATCTACTTCACCAAATAGTATGGTCTGCCAGGAGCTGAGAAGCTGAAAACTTTTCTTTTCATGGTAATTAGCTACAGCTTTCTCCTCAGTTACTGGTCCTTTGGGACCTTGGTCTAGGTGCATTCATGCCAACACAGGGTGGGCCGGATCTGGCCCACCAAGCCAGTTGATCTGACCATGGCAGCCCTGATGTTCCCCTGGCCTCAAGACTGGGGACACAGGAGTGCACAAAGTCTCCTCCTGCTGCCAGGGGCACATGGCAGTTGTTCAAAACAGCGGGGAGTGAAGACCTCACAGTGCTTCCCTCCCCCAGGCCCTGTTCACAATAGCTGGTGTTTTTTTCTAGGCAGCAGGGCAAAGACTTCAAATGCTCCCCGATGCCAATCAGAGTCCCTGGGTGGAGGAGTATGGGAAGTCTCCTGGCCCCGCCCCTTCCAGGGGCGTCCACTGAATACTAATTACAAGGATGCACTTCAACATTAGGTTTAATTTTTTTTTCAATAATAATCATAAAAATGTAGCTAACAAACATGTGAGCATAGTGGTAAGACCAGGGGTGGGCAAAATACAGCCCAGCAGTCATTTCTGGCCTGCCAAGCAGCCAGATCCACAATGTGGCCCAATGGGAGCTGTAATGGCTCCTTCCCCACTCTGGCATGATAAATGCAGAAGTGGGAGCCAGCAAGTATACCCCAAAGCCTTATCTACCAGGCTTTGGTATAAAACTTCCCCCAAAATCTTAAACCCTAGATCTTGGGAATAAAACTTCCGCTGCCACCATCCAAATGTTGATAAAGAAATCAGGGGAAAGATCATTTGGGAAATCTCATCCCTAAAATAAAAATCAGGGCACACAATTAACCAAAGCCAGGTTAGTAAAAAGAAAAGAAAGAACTTTTATTATTACAACAATATTCCTGTTACAAGCATAATGACTAGATGGGAAGGTAACAAAATATACTCATGGAGAAATTCCATGGGCCTAGAACTTAGTTTAAAAGATGTTTGGCTTTTCTTTGTAACAAAAAACAGGACTATGTAGCACTTTAAAGACTAACAAGATGGTTTAATAGGTGATGAGCTTTTGTGGGCCAGACCCACTTCCTCAGATCAAATAGTGGAAGAAAATTGTGACACTTTCAAGTGTCCGTCTGCTATGTACATTGGACAAACGTCTCGACACTTCGCCAAAAGATGAATGCCCACAAAACAGATATCAGACAGGATCACAAAGAAAAAACAGTTTCTTGCCATTTCAACCAGAAAGGACATTGTCTCAACGACTTGATTACCTGTTTCCTGCTTCAAAGGCCTTTTAAGATTTCACTTGAAAGAGAATCCTCTGAACTGTCATTCATGCTTAAATTCAACACTTTACACTCAAGTTTGAATAAAGCCGCTAATTATCTTACCCATTACAAAGATAGCTTCACCAATTATCACCTCTAATATCATTAGCTCACAGACATTTACATCCCCTTCTCCCCCCATCCCCCTTCTGTTCTGAAATTTGATTTGTCCTTTTCATATGTGTTCATTTTTTTAAATTGTATCCTTTGGTATATATGGTTGTGACAATTTTCTTCCACTGTTTGATCTGAGGAAGTGGGTCTGGCCCACAAAAGCTCATCACCTATTAAACCATCTTGTTAGTCTTTAAAGTGCTACATAGTCCTGTTTTTTGTTACAAAGAAAAGCCAAACATCTTTTAAACTAAGTTCTAGGCCCATGGAATTTCTCCATGAGTATATTTTGTTACCTTCCCATCTAGTCATTATGCTTGTAACAGGAATATTGTTGTAATAATAAAAGTTCTTTCTTTTCTTTTTACTAACCTGGCTTTGGTTAATTGTGTGCCCTGATTTTTATTTTAGGGATGAGATTTCCCAAATGATCTTTCCCCTGCTTTCTTTAGCAACATTTGGGTGGTGAAGCTCACTCAGAGACAAAAGGTGGAAGGAAAAAACCTAAATTCCTTTGTCCCAGTTTGAAAGTCCCACCTGCATTCCTATTGGCCTCTCCACCTGGCTAGGTGTAGTTAACCCCTTAATCCCCAGGCTGCTGGCTAACCCTCATATTCATGACAGGAGCCTCAGGTAGATGCCCTGTTTTCTGCTGCATGCCGGGGCGGGGTGGTGGTCTGCATGCTGCACAGTCTCGCAGCTCTCAGTGAGTGAAAACTGAATCTGCCTTGGCGGTGCTAATGATGTAGGAAGCATGCAAAAACCCCTCCCTGCTCCAGGTCTTGCAGCGCACAGAGAGCATATGGTCACCACAGCTGGCCGCTTTCAGAGCCTCCCAGGCAGAGCCTACACCTTGCACCCACCTCCTTCTCCCTACCCCTTTGATCCTCTGCTACCCCTCCTGCATCTCTACCCCAAATCACAACACAAACACTCTGCACCCCTGCTCCTGCACCCATATACCCCCTCCCGGACATTGTACTCCAATCCCCTGCCCCAGGTCACAACCCCATTTAGCTGTAAGTCCTAATCAAAACCCCTCCATGCCCCCTGCAGCTCCTCCTACACTTGTCCTCCAGATCAGAATCCTTGCTTGCACCCAGTTGCTAGACAGCACTGCAGCTTCATCCATTCTGTGGATTACCTGAATTTTTGATGATCTGATCTTGCCCCAATCCAAATTAGATCAGGTCAATGTGATTCTGCTATAGTTCTATTCAACATGAATTGGAGATTATTCTGAAACTTCTGTACTAAAATCATTTCCATAACTTCAGTTCTTTTTGCCAAAATCAAGCATGGCATGTACTAGAAATTTGAAAGGGGCATAGTGGTTGGGTTTTTGGTGATTACTGCTGATGACGCAGGATGGTGAATAAACTTTGGATGTATATTCACTTATGCAGTCTTAACTTTTAGTTTTCCAATGTTTTGAGGAGTACAGGTTGAACCTCTTAAATCCGGGACTCTCTGGTCCAGCAATGTTCATGGTCCGGCAGGATCATGGATGTTGCTGGACCAGAGAGCCCCAGCACTTGGGAATCTGAGCCATTCAGGGAGTCCAGTGGAGGGGAGCCCCACCATTAGACAGGTGAGCCCCGTCCCTGGAGAATCCCAGCCAGGCAGGGCAGCAGTGGGACCAGCAAGCCATATCCTTGTGGAACCCTGTATTGGTGTGGCAGGGGTGGGACAGCTGCGGAGCCCTAGAAAGTGCGGTGGGGGAGGGGGAGCCATTGAGCTCCATACCCAGGAAGCCCTGGCAGGGTGTGGCAACAGCAGGGTAGCCGATGAGCCCCAAACTTGGGAAGGCCTGGTGGGGTGCGGAAGCAGCACGGTAGCCATGGAGCCTAGTCCTTGGGAAGCTCCAAGCAGGACAGAAGCCAGCTGGCGGCAGCGTGCTGAGCCCAAACCTTGTAGCAACAGAGCTGGAGCCCAGTGGCAGTGGGGCTGGAGTGGAGCCAGCCAGAGGGAGGGACCGTATTCTGGGAGGCCAGTGTCAGGGACCTCCCCTGATCTGGAAAATTCCCTCATCTGGGACTGGTCAGGTCCTGAGGGTGCTAGACCAAGGAGGTCCAACCTATTTTTCCAAACACTATATGAAACTGTTCTGCTTAAAAGCACTGTATGAAATTGTTGTGGACTGACTGCATATTTTTTCTGGCGAAGCTCTTTTTACAGTGGGTAAATATAATGATCACACATGTTCAATGAAACATTGTGCTTGATTCAAATCAGCCAGCAGATGTTTATGCAGAAATTAGCTCTACTGGCCTAACTTGAGATGATCTTAAAGGCCCCAGTGTTCAGAGAGTTAATTCAAAAATAAAATCAATTTTTTTCCTAAACGGGCAAATTACAGGTTATTTTATTGGGAAGGAGGGGCTTTAAAATTACTTGACAATTTCTATCTTCAGTAGTATGAGAACATTCCAAATGTTTCTTATTAAAAATAAAGCAGAAGAACCTTTCAACTTTGACTCTGTTTCCTGACTTCAGGGTTTTTTTGGGGGTTGGGTGGGGGGCATGACATGAAAGGTGAAAAGCATTGAAGGTAAAAAGCATATTTGTTGAAATCTCCTGGAATAATTATGGCAAAATGAGCATTTTAATGCAAAGTAAGCTTGAATGGAAGTTGCTACCATGATTTCATCATATTATTGTTTGGCTCATCTGAAATGAGTCAATAGCTGTAGGTTTGCTATATCTCTTATTTGGTTTCTTTTTACAGGCTTATGCATCAGGATGTGATATCGTTATCCTGGGGACTGATTTTGAAAGATTACAAATAATCCCTGGAGCAAAACATGGAAATATTCAAGTGGGATGTGTGGACTGTTCAATGCAGCAAGGCAAGGTATGTAGTAATCCTACCAATAATGCTGAGACCACATGTAGCATTAATTGATGGTAGTTGTGAAGCTTACAGTTTAAGCACAAACAAGTACACGGAGATTAAGGGAATAACTTGTATTCAAATTAACTTAATTTACTGTAGGTATTATAGCAGAAGTGCCTCAAATAAGGAATTAATGGCATACAGAGTGAAGGACCATGCAAATGAAATCCGGAAAGTTGTACCAAGAGGATAGTGAAAATCTGACTAATAGTTGAAGAGGTTGTGAGTGATGAAAGTCCTGTAATGTGTATATTCGGACTTCATGTTTGACAGTTTGTGAATATGATGTTATGGTGAAAAGCTTCTGGTTAGACAGTGCTAGGGTTTCCAGAGTTACTTCCATGTATCTAGGTCTTCATTTATGCATAACAAATGTTGTATTGGTATTGTAAATAAACACCTTAACCATACCTAAGTCTGACTTCAGTTGATGTCAGCAATGAAATTGGTGCGCTTCAAGTAGTCAGGCAATTGACACTCTGGTTCACTTTCTGTTTCAGAAAGCAGGGTGGGGAATGGTTGGTTTGACAGAATAAAAAGAAATTGCAAAAATGTTAGCAAATTGAAAAAGTCAGTGTTTGCTTTGGTTTTGGTTTTGTTTTTTGGTTGAACAAGACAAAAATGTGTCCACGTTGGAGAAGCCAGAGGAAGAAAACAAAAAGATGAGGTTTAGTAAACATGATCTATGGGGAAAGGCTAAAAATTTTGCATGTTTAGTTTTCAGAAAAGAAGGCTGTAGCTAGAGACATGGAACAGATACATGTCTTCAAATATGCAAAAAGTTTATAAAGAGAATAGGGATGTTAAAAAGCATGGTTTTTGTCAATGTTTAACCGCTGACATTTTTAGTATTGCAGCAATGGTTGGGGGGGCGTGGAGGTGGCTCTGCAGGACAAGGTGCTCACAGGGAGCCAGCTTTTAACACTTACTTGAATATAATAAACCTATAGAAGGTCAGTTTTTGTCCTTGTTTTCTAAATACTAAGCATGTCAAGCCTGGGCTCATCAGTTAATCTCGTCAAATACATGCACCCTCCCCCCCCTCGCCGGCTGCCTATTGTGTCAGAGGCAGCAAGGGGAGTGAGGAAGCGGGAGCTGGCTTTACAAAAGCTACCCATGAGCACTGGATCTGCCTGCCCCTCTCCCATGCCATTGCCTGTGATAGAGGTAGCAGCGCGGGGGGAGGGAAATCCAGGGAGCCAGCACAGAAGGGGAGCCTGCTTGAAAGCTGGCTGGCTCCCTGAGTGTATTGGCTTTGCCCTGTCCCCCGCCTCACGCTACTGCCTCTCTATCAGCACTTAGGGTACGTCTAAACTACATCCCTTTTTTCGATAAAGGGATGTAAATTAGATGTATCGAAATTGTAAATGAAGCCAGGATTTGAATTTCCCATGCTTCATTTACATAATGGCGGCCGTGGCTTTTCTTTGGGGGAAAAAAACCATGGTCAAGACAGGGATCCTTCGACAGAGTTACAGGATCTTTTGAAACGGGGCATTTCTGTTGAAAGATCCCCGTCTTGACTGCGGGGGCGGGGCGGTTTCTGGAATGCGGCCACTATTATGTAGATGAAGTGCGGGAAATTCAAATCCTGGCTTCATTTACAATTTCGATACGCCTAATTTACATCCCTTTATTGAAAAAGGGATGTAGTTTAGATCTATCCTTAGATATGTCACAATCAGAGGCAGCAGCGCAGGGGACTGGAGGGGGAGGGGTCTGGTTTTCAAACTGGCTTTCCTGGCAGACCAGCTCCCACATGCCTCCCTATTTTGCTGCCTCTGATAGAGAGGGGGCTCCCCCACCCCTGGGGACTATCAAATAGTCATGTAACGGATAAGATTTCATGTAGTTACATGACTAATCAATTATAAGATATATAACATCCCTACTAAATACCATTTAACAGCAAATATGTGGCCTTTTCAATGATTCCTTGGTCTCCAGCAAAAGTGTGGTGCTTTTGTTGTATTTTCACCTATGATTGTAGACAACAATACAACCTAGAAAACAATCCAGTCTATGCTTTGAGTGAGTGCAGTGTAGATGGCTGCTGTGAAATTCAGAGGATTACATTTTATTTAGCATTTCAACCAAGAGGATATGCATTTTTGGAAACTCTGCAGATTGGGTTGATTGTTCTAAATCATGATTTGTCAACTTCAGCATGTTAAGGAGCTCCTTACGATTCCTGTTACAGTTTTGGTTTGGGGGGGAAGTGAAAAGACCAAACTAAGCCTTTCTTTCATAGGCAAGTTTCAGAAGTGACCTAATAGAGATATATGGGCCTTCTTTAAAATTCAGCAGTCCCTCCCCACCCATAGTATCCTCACTACAGGGGTGCAAGGAACATGCCTAACTTCCCTGATACACGCATAGAAATAATAGTCCTAAACAGTAGAGCCTCAAAGATACAAACACCAGAGTTATGGACTAATTGACAATTGAACACCACGTAAAATTGGAAGTTGTCCAGGCTCTAGCACTTTGAGCACAGAAGGTGGGGGCCTTCAAGAGACCTTTAAATACCTTGCCTCTAAAAGTCTTCTGGTTTAAAAAAAATACAACTACTTCCCAAAGTCACAGGCTTCCCGAACTTAGGTGGTATGCTGCCACCACACAACAACCCTGAGACAAGGGAAAAACACTTGGTGTAACCCCAAGCTCTTTATCCCTTCTTTGGGAGAGAGGTTGAAAAACACTTAATTTTTTAATAGTGGACCTTCAGTCTCTTGGTTTTTTTAGGACACAGGAATTAAATTACAGTCCTTAAAAAAGGTGACTATATTAACAAAATTAAAAAGATATATTTGGTAAAACATACTTGGCTGCTAGGTATTACAGAACAATTTTAAAAGATTAAAGCGCAGAGAATTGCTTCCCTGGGATTCAGCTCCGCTACAGTAAACAGGAGTAGCAACTGGCAGCAACAGAGACAAAAGAAAATACTGTACTGTGACTGTATTGCATCTTAAAGGTAGACATATCTACCTATATTCCCCTCGACTGCCTACACACAGAGAAGCCATTTAAAGCAAGACTCTGTGACTGCCATCCTAAAGGAGCCAGAGCCATCAGAGCAGGAACCAGTATAGGGTCTGTGTAGCTTTCACCCCCATCTCTTCTCAGGAGGGGAAGCAGTTTTGACCCTCCCCCTTCAGACCCTGTCTGGGGGAGAGAAGAGGAAAACACATGTAAACTCATGTTGGAACCAAGTAGGGAGCTCAGATGCTACAGTAACTTGGCCTGAAGTGTCAACTGCGGACTCTGGAGCATGAACTCTGTTTTGTTCACAGTTACAAAGATTTCAGCGTTATGGGCAGCCTTCATTGAGGTTCGACTGTATTTCCAAATATGGTACTCAGTCTTGACAACTTCTGTAGCCTTTCCCAGAGGAGGCAATTTTGAGTACAGGCAGTCCCCGGGTTACGTACAAGATAGGGACTGTAGATTTGTTCTTAAGTTGAATTTGTATGTAAGTCGGAACTGGTACATATTGTAGGGGAAACTCTAGCCAAACATTTCTCCAGAGCTCAGTTTTATTCTCCCACACCTCACTTCCCTCAGTCCTTAATTCTCAAGCTGAGGTGTCTGCTGAGAAAAGCCACTCCGCATCTCCCTGGTCTGCTGGGGGGTGGGGGGTGCTAGCTTCGCTTCTCCCTGGTCTGCTGGGGGGAAGCAGCTAATGCGGGGTTAGTGCGCAATTTGCATTATGATTATTATACAGAATCTCCCATATTAGTGAGTGTCTGCTGTTGCATGTCCACATAAAGCTACACCATTTCTGTGGGCCGGCAGGGGTCACAGCCACCATGGGCCCTGGAACAGAGTGGGAGAGGGGGAGGCTGGCTCTGTGCCCCAGAAGGGGTGGAGCTGAGGGCAGTCAGCCCTTAGCACCATGGTCCACGCATTAAGAGTGATGGTTACCGGTAACTTGTTACCCATTTACATCCCTAGTTATAGCTGTCCCAGTCCCCATATCTGGACCTTTGCTGTCCCTCCTATGGTGATTCTGCAGTATAACTGTCCCTCCTGCCAGATCTTTCCCTCTGTATTTGATGAGAAATGATCAAATTCTATGCACATCCCATTATCAGGGATTGATTGTGCCAGGCCGTTGCTTTAAGTTACAATAAGAGGAAACTGCATGCCAAATTTAGTGGTCCTACCTCTTACCGTTGAGGAGTTCTTGAACAAACGTATTGACAGATGTATGGACAGACAATTTCTAAAACTTGTATACAATTTTCAAAATTATAATCATGGTAATTATAAAGGGTAAGTAGAAAATTGTAGGATAAAATAGTTATTAGAACTGTGTTTTTAAAAACATGGCTTCTTCAGGGTTTTTGCAGCTTTGACAGAATTATAGTTGGCATTTTTGGGTCATGCTGATGTGTAAGTTGCTTGAAGAGTCTCATGCAGGCTTTTTATTTCTTTTTAAATGTGGAGGTTTTTCCTCTCAGAACATACACCACTAGCTTTTGTTTAAATTTACTTGCCACTTAGATGTGACACAATCTTCAGTTTCCTGAAGGAAATTTGATTGTAATTGGTAACCATTAAAATATGTTGATTTGCCATTGAATATACCCTTTGCCCTAAAATTTTGGTGATGCCTTTTGCAGTCAGGAGAGTTATACTATGATTCACAAGTTTAAACAATTTTATAGCTTAACGTTAGGTTATTTTTTAACATTTTTATTATATTAGAATGTGATGAATTATGTATTTTTTTTACTAGATTAATAATTTTCTAGTTGTGACTTGTCAAGACCAAAATGTAAATGTAATTAAATGAAGAAAAATTACATTTTAAAGTTGGCTTAGGATCACCACATTTGGTATGCAGCTTTCTCTTATAACTTCAAGCTAGGTAAGGGTTTGGTTGTGCCAGGACAGTGGGATGTGCCTGGAATGTGATTGTTTTCCATAACGCAGGAAGAGAGGAGGCTTCTAACAGGGACACTTATACTGTGTAATGACCATAAAGAGGCAGTATGGGTCCAGAGATGGGGACCAGGGTAGCAAGGGTGGAAGTAAGCTTCATGCACGCTGGCCACCTAGTGCAGCCCCCACTGCAGCCATCGCTGGGGAGCTGCCCCTTGGCCCTGCTGGCCTTTGCCCTGATCCCCCAACTCTCATCCCCATCCCTGACTCCTGCATCCTTCACTCTGCCAACCCCCTTCTCTGAGCCCTCCACATCCCCAAGCCACTGCCCTGAATCTTGCACCCCCACACACCCCCTCAGGCTCCTGTCCTGAAGGACCCAAGCAACGCTGTGTAAATCTTCTAGTTATAAACAAACAAATAGTTGAAAGATCTGGAAAGCTTGTTTCCACTTCTAATATATAAATAAAAACTAAGTATGAGAGAATGAAATATACTTATTGTAAATTCTTAGGGAAACAAATAGTTCATAAGTCACACATTTCTTTTGTTTAAACAATTAGTTTCTTTTAAAAAAAATCTGAAAACTTTTTAATAAAACTTCTTATGTACCAAGTACATTTAAGGTAGTTTTAGGTAACTAATTAAACCTTTACAATGCATTTTTTTAAAATTTAATTGCAGAGCTGCCTGCATCAGGGCTGCACTAGCTGGACAACATGCAGGAAGTTTACCTCCACTCTTGCTACCCCAAATGGGTTTATACATTTCTTGGTCCCCATTTCTGGACCCAAGCTGTCTTCCATTTTGTAATATATATTTTAAAGGGTTTTTTAAAATTATTATTCTAGTGTGTTCCTCAGGTTCTGACACTTGATTCATAAGAAAATAGAACTAGGAACTCAAGAATATGGAAGGAAATATTTTTACAAAGAATGAAGTGAAAATAGCATCAGTAGAATCTCCAATTTTAAATTAATATTTGTTTTGTTTTTGTTTTATATAACTTTACTTTAGATTGCAGCTTCTTATGGAAATATGATTTGTATCTTTGACCCAGTTACCATCCTGAAACAGAAGAGCAATCATCCTGCTGTAAGTGATTGAACTGTCTTAATAGAATTGTACAAGATGTCTTGAGAAATATAAATAATTGCTGTGGTTCACTTTTATTACATGGAAGTTGCCTTTTCTGATATGCAAGTTGAGCAGGCCCAGAGGAGGCAGGATGGGGATAGCTGTCTCTGGGGCCCATCGATTCAAAGGGGCCCAGGACACCCAGCAGCCACCACTGCTACTGGCAGCCAGAGTCCTGGGTCCTTTAAATCACTGCTAGAGCACCACACCATGTGCTCTAGGCTGCACAGAGGAGGGAAGGGCTGGATGTCCCTCGCCCCATACCCTTCTGCCAGAGGCCTTGCCCCTTCCAGTAGCGTGGGCCCTCCCACTTTGCCCAGAGTCTTGCAGAAGTCATTGATGCCTCATGAAGATACCAGTTAAAAATTGGGATATAGGACTTTTGTTGTGTGAAAATATGGAAAAGAGTGCCACTTTATTATACGAGTGCCATTTTATTATACAACTTAACACTTCAGAAGGGGATGCAGTGGACTTCTCCATAATAAACATACATAGTAATTGTTTCACCTATGAAATGATTTTTGTTGTACAAATCCATGATTGGCTGTCTCTGGCAGTGGCCAGTCTCAGCAGATGGTGCAGGAAAACTCAAAATGGAATAACCTGTGCACAGGGAAGTTTGCTTTTAATCAAGTAGTAAATATGTTTACAGATATTTTTACATCCTGCTGCTTATAGTTTTATAACCCTTGTTTTTATCTTTTTGCTTGTTTTTGCTCATGTGCATCTCAAGTACTTCAAAAAAATTCTTATTATTTTGAAAACCATTTTTAGAGTATATCTCTAGATTTCAGAGGGTTTTATGAAGGATGTTAAAAACTGTACACTCACATTCTTTATAGTGTAACTTACTTTGGTGTGGGCATATTTGTGGATTAACCTTGAGTTAATCAGGATTTTAACATCCACATCTCTTCTACGTGCTAATTTACGTGAGTTAGAGGAGGTTACTTAAACTCTGAGCCCACTTTTCATAGTCTACTTTACAGGAATATTGAGTCTTACCAAGCCTTTGTAAAATGCCATATAAGTATTAAGGTGATAACAAGGGCACAAATAGAACACAGCAGATGTAGCTTTCACCTTGTGTGTATTCCACCACACTGTGTGGCTTTTAGGGGTTGCAACACAATTTCCTATCATGTTAGGGAATTTAAGAAATCTTTCTGAATTATGCTTGCTTCATGAACTTCCTAAGACATACATAATACCTGTGGGTAAATCAGGAAGCTCTTTTCCAGGCGAAGTAGATTTCCTACACTTTGTAAAAGATGATGTGCATATGGAAGATATTTCATTTGAAACTCCATTTCATTACTCCATTCTGAATGCTGAGCAAAATTAGCTTAAAAAGGCTAGTTTTCACTAATACTAGAATAAAATTTAATGTTATAGGTAGTTATTAATCTTTTAATGTATTTAAATTCTAATTTTTTAACAAATCAAGCGGCGAGTGTCTCAATTTTTAGGTATTTTGTATCTCTTCATAGTTCTTGAAACATAAGATTATAGCTGTGACTTGTATAACCTTGTCTTATCAATTAATTCCTTTAATAAAGTTGAATTCCAGTCTAAGAAGTATTTAGTAAATATCTCACTTAATCTCATAAAGTGTGCTAATTCTTTTGATTGTAGGGGATATATTACCAGTGGCAGAAGAGTGGTCAAATTTTACTGGATTCTATAGCACATAATATAACATGGGATCCCACTGGTAAGGACATATTTAAATAAAACTTCTAATTGTTTAATATCACATGTTAATTTTGACTTTTGTGGGGGAGAAGGGATGGTTTCTTTTTGATGCAGCGAAACCGAATATGTCCAGGATGATCAGGAGAGTGTTGTGAATATGTTCTTTTAAGTGAAAACTTATTTGCATCTCTGTCATCTCAGCAAACCAGTAATATGTTGTCCTATACTCAGTGTCCTGTGCTGTCTGCTTTAAAGAAAGGTGGAAGGGTGGCATTAAAAATGTGCATGAAAGAAGAATATCTGAACACTTCATCCGTGGCCCCAATTGGGGATCATGATAACAAAGTGCTAGGATTGATAACTCTTGTAATTTTCCCTCATTATTGCATATACTGTTCTTTCAAAATATTAGCATAATTGTATTCTTGCAGAACTGCTTAGATGCATTTGTTCAACAAAAGACAACTTAGTTTGGAAACAGAGTAGAACAAGTCTGTTTTTAAGTATTTGGATGACAGATGTCCACATTAAACAAAACATGACTTAAAATGTAAAAATAAATTTGGTCTATTTTTTGTAAAGTTGATCTAATCTAACAAAGTTTTGCTGCTTTCGCCACTTTGCAGGATTATACCCCATTGCAGTAGTTTGATTTGTGTAAAGAAAAGGCGATACTATTTATAGTATGTTACGACTCCTATAACAAACTGTCAATGTTTGTGGTACCGACTAGTTGGCCTTTTCAGTATTAAAAACTATGCCTCATGATTTGATTTGTATGTGTTTATATATAATTTTAAACTTTTGGTTGTAGGAACTCGTCTCTTGACTGGTTCCAGCTGTCTGCAACTTTGGTCCAATATTAATTTGGAAAACCAATCTGAAGATGGGAATCCTGAAAAAACAGATGTTAGCTTTGGCGACTGGCAGCGTATCTGGCAATGCAAGTAAGAAGCAAGTTTACAAAGTATAAAACTTGAATAAATGCAACATAGACTTCTCTTGTAGACCATTTTTTCCCAGATGAAAATTTCACCTTAGTTTATTTTTTTTATCCGTTTTTATTTGTTCAGTCACATATAGATCCAGAAGGGAAGCAGCCAAGATTTCAGAGTTGTGTCTCTTGCTATATTTCCTGCATTGCCTTGCTTGCTTGGCGGGGGGGAGAAAGCACTCTTTCACAATGTACAATATACATCAATTTCACAACAAGAACTTGCAAAGAGTGTGAAAACTGACTCCTGCCCTTAATACTTCAGGTGTTTGCTTCCAAATCTTCAAATTGTGTAACTGTTGGTTCGGGGAGTGGCCTTCATATGCTCATAACACCTCAGGAATAAAAGAGTAGTCCAAGATACTGATACAGATACTATCCTTTTCTCCTAGAGTGAAAACAAAACCTTACATACCTATGCGTCGTCAGTAGTTGTATCTTAGTTCCAGGCACATCTGTAAATCAGGACTCTGGTTCGACAACATCAAATGTCTTATTTGTCAAGGACAATAATAGCAAAAGGATACAGCTAAATATGTTCAAAAACTTGAGTTGGTCCTTTAGACACTGCTTCAAGGCCAGTTGATTCAGCCATCAAATTGATATGACATGTTTTGCACAGATTATCTTATGAAACTAGAGCATCTGTGGAAGAATTTGTTTGAAGACAATTTTTTGTTTAGTGCAAGAATGAATGTAGTCTTAGAGAAGGATAGTAGCGTAGTAGTTAGTTTGCTAAGGCTCTGTTAAACCTCTGGGAAAAGATGCAGAGCTCCTTATATAGTAGACAGTAATATTCTTCATCCTCATCTTTTGTATTTCATGTACATGCATTAATATATGTACCTATGACCTCTTACTCAACTGCAGTAGAGGAGAGAGAGCTTCAAGGTTCCATCTGAATGATAGTCAGACCACACACTTGTCTTCCACAGAAGGTTGTGGGGCTTGCTCCTTTGCAGTTCAATTTCACCCATCCATCCTGGACTTATTTTGCCGTTCCTTCAGCAACGGTGTCTCCACAGTAGGCAAATAAATTCTAGAAATAGTAAGGGGATTATTCCAAATAATTCAGAATCATCCTTCCCTTGTCACCTCTCCCCTTTAATTCATATTGAAGGTCATCTTTCTCAAGAATCTGCTAAAAACACAGGTTCACTTGATTTTGGAATCAGTAGTCAGAGAGGAAGTTTCAGAAGAAATCAGGGGACAGATTCTTCTAGACATTTTGATACCAAAGAAGGATGGATGTTTCTGTCCCATCTTAGGAATGGGGCGGGGGGGGGGAAAACTTCACAAGAAAGTTCAAGTTCTGGATGCTGACCCTAGTATCCATAATTTCCTCATTGCTGACTTGTGAGCAAGACATGAGAAGTAATTTTTCCACTCTATTGTGGACTGATTAGGCCTCAATTGGAGTATTGTGTCCAGTTCTGGGCACCACATTGCAAGAAAGATGTGGAGAAATTGGAGAGAGTCCAGAAAAGAGCAACAAAAATGGTTAACGGTCTAGAACACATGACCTATGAAGGAAGACAAAGAATTGGGTTTTAGTTTGGAAAAGAGAAGACTGAATGGGGACATGATAGCAGCTTTCAAGTTCTTAAGAGTATTATAAGGAGGAGAGGGGAAAATTGTTCTCCTTAACTTCTGATGATAAGCAGTGGTTTTAAATTGTAGCAAGGAAGGTTTAGGTTGGACATTGTGGAAGACTACCTAATTGTCAGGGTGATTATACACTGGAATAAATTGCCTAAGAAAGTTGTGGAATGTTCATCACTGGAGATATTTAAGAGCAGGTTAGATAGACATCTAACAAAGAAAAGCAAATGCTTATTGGATAGTTGAGTCGATTAGTTGCTTCCCGCCACGTTGCTGCCTCTATCAGATAAAGACAGCAAAGGAGGGGGGAAAGAGGAGGTACTTAAAAGCATCAGTGTCGCACAGAGCCCAGTACGGGCTCTGTGCGTCATTGCCCCTTTGAAACACCGTCACGGCATTTCAAAGCAGCAGCAGCACCACTTGGAGTCTGGGGACAGCTGGGGACTCCCTAGCTGACCCTGGGCTCTATGCGCCATTTCCACAGAACCAGTCCCCAGCTGATCCCAGGTTCTTTGGAAATGCTGCACAGAGCCTAGGGGTAACTGGGAAATCCGGAGCTGACTCCAGCTGCCCGCAGCATTTCAAAGCGGCAGCGCCGCATGGAGCTCACAGTGAGTGGCGGACTCTGAGTCCTTTTTCTGACACCAGGCTCCATGCGGGTGCTTCTGCTTTGAAATGCGCAAGACCCACGGGGGGGCTCTTGTGCATTTCAAAGCTAGCACACGGTGTGCAGCCCAGGGCCAGTGGGAAGTCCTGCTCACTCTAGGCTCCACATGAAATTCCATCAACTATTCGACTAGTAAATCGATATTTAACATCCTTAATCTAGAGTAGTGCTTTGTCCTATCATGAAGGCAAGGGAGTAGACTTGATGACCTCTCGAGATCACTTCCAGTTGTTGTATTCTGTGATTCTGTGTTTCCAAGATTATTTTCCCAAGATTATTTTGCATGTCAGTATCAAGTCTTCACATTGCAAATACAGGTTGGATCTCCCTTGTCCTGGATGAGAGATTTTGCTGAAAGCCCCCCTACTGTCAGCTCTCCCTACAGCTTCTCCCCATGTGCTTCCTGGCTTTCTCCACAGCCCAGCTGAGCCATGTGCTGACTCCTGGACCCCCACCCCCTGCAGAGCACCAGGACTCTCTGATACTTGAATATCCATGGTCATGCCAGATGACTGATTTTGCAAGACCAGTGAATCCCATATTTTAGAGGTGCAACCTGTACCTTCATTTGAAGGAAAATCACTTTCAGTACAAGGTCCTTTTGTTTCTACCACTTCTTGTGTGGTTTACAAAGTTCCAGTCTGTGCACATGGCACATCTAAGACAATGCTGTACAAGGGTTTTCTGATTTAGATAACTGGTGTTCAATGGCATTGTCTATGTATAGTCTTTCCAGAGATAGGACTCACATGCTCCCTTCTCAAGAAACTGTGACTCAAAATAAAGTGGGGGCAAAACAAACAAACAAAAAGGTTTTCTACACAAAGAACCCCCTTTGGGGGCAGAGAGGGGTTCTGGATTCTCAAGCAGGAAGAGCCTTCCATCCAGAACAATAGTTTCTGAAAGTTCAGTTATCAGAGAGCGTCTGGACTACAAGCAGATTTTTTGAAAAAGCGAGCTGCTTTTTCGAAAGTCTAGATGCTCTCTTTTGAAAAAGCACAGTTTGCATTTAATAGCACCTTTTTTTGAAAGAGTACTTTCAAAAAAAGGTGTTTTTCCTTGTAAAATGAGGTTTACCATGATCAAAAAAACTGCTGTGTTCTTTCTATTTACTTTCGAAAGAACATGGCCGCAGTTGAGACACGGGAAGTTGTTTCAAAAAAAGACTTTTTATAAATTTCATAGCCACTTTAGCTGAGAGAGTCAGCTACAAATTATGCCCCGCACAGTCTTATTTTTGTTTAAAGCAATAATGGTAGGGAGGATCAGAATTTGAGATGTTACACAGAGATCTTTGCAATAGTAGCTTAATTCATATCGTGTCTTGGATAATCTTGGAGAGTATGTTAGAAAAAAACCTCAAGGATTGATGCAAAGTGGAACAGCCTACTTTCCCAATACAAGTAGTTAGCAAGAACTCTCAACAGGCAGTATATCTGACCATTTATTTTTCGCCTGGAGGTATTTTTTTTTCCAACTTTCCAGGATTGAACTCAACCCAGATACTCTAGCTACTGAAACAGAAGGAAAATATACCAATGTAGGACTTTCAGACTAGGAATAAAATGATACATTTTCCTTTCTACTTTTAGACCAGTTCAATTGTGGAAACATTCTACATTCTTCAAAGTCTAGTACTCTGTAGAGTTTCAAGGCAGTTCCTCTTCCTTCCTCCCCTTTCCACTATGACAGTTAATTTACATTTTCACAAATCTATTTTCAAATATAAGCTCTAACATCAGGGTACCCTCACTGCATCATCCAGATGGTTTGGGGGTTTTTTAAGATTTTTTTTTTTTAATAGTTCATGTGAAAACAATTGGACTTTATTCTATTTCAGTGTGCAACAGGCAAAAAAGAAAAGAACGTAGAAAATATTCTCATTCTTTCAAGAAATTGATTAATTTTTACCTCTTATGTTACCTAACTCTCAAAAATGTGACATCTGGTCACCTTAGTTTGCACTTCCTGCCATTCATTTTCATTTGGAACATAATGTATAATGATATCTAAAGATTATGCAGGCTATCAAGATCACATCAAGAGAATGAATACTTAGGTCTGTCTTAGGTTGATGTAAAACCCAAACCATCTCTGGAGTTTGCCTATCTTTTGAGCTCAGTTTTAACATGTGTTAATTCTTCTGGTTTTAAATTTCTGAAAAAACCTCTTTCTTCCTGTAGTCAGCTTAGGTAGTTTCTTCATGGCAATTGAAGAGGGATGTCATTTTTTGTGTGCATCAATGTGTGTGTTACTTTCTTTAAATAATCAAAATTGTTTAGAAAATAAATCGAGACAAAATCTGCATTGCTGACTACAGTATAAATATGGTGACAGGTACATTATGGAGGCATCCTTTTTTTTCTCACATTTTATTTCACCACAGCCTCGTCAGACATCCTGAACTTTTCACATTTAATTTCATAATCAGGAATCTGTCTTCAACAGTGTGTATACTCTTATGGGGTAGCTATTAAACTCAAACTTTCTGCAACTTCAAGAGTGTGGAAGAGGATTTGTGTGATGTGATGTATCTAGAACATGAATATGTATTTTAGCTACAATCAGCTCCAGTCTGATGAAGACATCATGTAATTCCTAATGGCATCCACCTCTATTGTAGCCCACCCTTTAACTGAGTACTGTTGAATCAGATCTCCTTATATTGTGCCTTTGTGAGTATAAAGGTTTCTCACTTACATCACTGAGAGGTTTTTTTGCGATTATGCTCTAGTAGCTATTCGTCACAGTATAGGAGAATTTATTTGCTTGACATGGGTTAAACCTCGTGTTTCACTTTCTTCGTTTTTATAAAACTCCAAGTTTAATGGAAATTTTAATTACTGATTTTTTTTTAAACATCAGTATTTATAATTCTAACATTAATACAGTAGCTGAGTACTGCACAGTTAGTGAAAGCCTACATATTTTTCAAGGGAAGTGAAATGCAGTAAGAACACAACATAATTAACTAGACTTCAAAAAAATCTTTGTTTAAATAATCAGACTAACAGATTGTGGTTTCCTTCAAGTGGGGTGTTACTTTATTTTTTGTTTTTAAATGTATTCCTTAAATGTAGTCCTCCAGGAAGAGCAGAAGTGCTCGTATTCTGCACCACATGTGTGAGACGGGGGTTGGGTGCATCAGTGAAAAGCACTTTAAGACCAAACTGAGGGTGTGTCTAGACTACTGAGTTTTGTCGACAAAAGTGGACTTTTGTCGACAAAACTATACCAGCGTCTACACTACCGCTGAGTTCTGTCGGCATAACGTCGACAGAACTCAGCAGTTTTGTCGACGCTGGTATACCTCATTTTACGAGGCATAACACCTTCTGTCGACAGTTCTGTCGACAGAAGGTGTTATTGCCTGTAGAGTTGCGTCTAGACTACAGGGTTCTGTTGACAAAGCAGCTTGCTTTGTCGACAGAACTCAATGTGTCTGGACGCTCTTTGTCGACAGAAGTTTTGTCGACAGATACTGTCGACAAAACGCGGTAGTCTAGACGTACCCTGAGGACCCATCTCATCACAATCACTTGGTTTCTGGCAGGAGACAGTAGGTCATCTGAATCTGATGTCTAACTACCACCTCTTTTCAACACTTCAGTTGTAGCAGAGTCTGCCTCAAACCACACCATAGCTTCCTAGTGCTTGAGTCCATGATAGGCACTAAACCTAAAAGACAGGTTTCACCTCCAAAATCGGGGGTTTTCTGGCAGCTGTGGGGTGGGGGGCAGTGGGTAGGAGGGAGCTGGGAAGACCCAGACTGGCCAGAGAAGGAGATGCAACCCCAGTGGTGGGGCGTGGGGGGAGGCAGCAGCTGTTGACCCCTGCTGGACAGGGGCAGGGGCAGAGCCTGCAGTGGAGCTGATGGTCAGCAGGTGAGTTTTGACCTTCCCTCATCTGGCAAACTCTCTGGTTCAGGACCACTCAAGTCCCAAGGGTTCCAGACCAGAGAGGTCTAACCTGTACAAAGAATTTTTCATATAATATCCAATAAATAATTATGTATTTCTGAACGTTTTAATTATCTATGTTGCTGCATTTTTTTGAACTATCAAATTAATGTTTTTAATTACTTTATAGAATGGCTTCCCAAGTTCATCTAATGAAATTTTCACCCGATGGAGAATTCTTTGCTACTGCAGGAAAGGTAAATTAACTTTGGTATGTCAGAATTACCTTTCTTTAGAAAGGTTATGAAATACAGAACTTGACTATATCCTTTTTTTGAAAAATGGGATAAATAATATTTTTTCTTTATAATTCAGAACATCCGTAACTTCCAAAAATTCTTTTATGTATCTTCTAATGCTGGTTAGTGACTACTTTGAGTAATTGAAAGGGCTAAAATTCAGAAAGGAAAACCTATAGACTCAGTTCTAGCAGAGTACTACAGGTTGGACCTCCCTGGTGCAGCACCCTTGGGACCTTACTGGTACTGGATGAGGGATTTGCCAGACGAGGGGAGGTCATTTTTGGACCCCTGCCACTAGCCCTGCTGGCCTCCTAGCCGGCTTTCCACCTCCTGCTGCCCCTCTGATCCCCTATGCAGCCATCACTGCCTGACTCGCCGGGCAGCCCGGCGCTGGCATTCCAGGCAGCAATGCACACCCTGCACTGGGTCTCTGGACAGCTGTGCATGCTGCAGCTCTCTGGGTAGGTGCATGTGCGCTGTGCTCTGAGGGTCTCAGCTCTTCTGGACAGCCACATGCTGGGTCTTCGAGCCCCACTACCATGTGTTGGACAGCCCCACTGTCAGGTCTCTGCAGACAGCCCACTGCCCTGCTGGCCCTTCAGGGATCCTTACTGATGGCCTTCCACCGGATTCTCTGGTTTTGCAACATCCATGCTAGACCATGGATATTGCCAGGCTAGAGAATTCCAGTTGAGAGTTTTGACCTGTACATTTGTTTTGGTTATGAGTAGATAATAGTTCAGTGCCAAAACAAAACATTAAGAAGTAAATGGTCTGTACCAGAGCAGAAGGCCTGTAAAATGAAAATTAGATGTGTTTGCTTACTAAAAATTAAGGGAAATATTGAAGTCTTTCTTAACGTTTAAAAATACTCGCGAGGAGAGACTGATGTGTTAACATGAGAGAGGACCCCCTGTTAGGCCATCTGTTACACACAAAGTATCTGTTTATCCTATTAAAAATATAGTCTTTCTAGAAGATGGCTTAGCAATGAGAGTGTCAAACACTCAAAACACTAAAACTTTTGTTTGACAAGCATTAAATCCTCTGGCTTTTAAGAGTGCCTTCATGGAAACTTATGCCTGTGTGGTCATTATCTCCTAAGAGTTATCCATGTTAGTACGAAATGTTTGTGGCAGCATACAAATTTAGCTTCGCAAACTTGGTAGCAAACAAAGTCCAGCTACAGAAGTATTGATCTGCTGCAGCAGCTTAAAGACTTAAACCCTACCATGTTTTCCCATTTCTAATAGTGCTGATCAGGTAATCTGACAACTTTGGGGAAGTCTTAGAGGTCTAGCTATTTTAGCCTATATCTGCAAAAACAACCAAGAATTCTGTGGCATCTTAGGGTATGTCTAGACTACAGGCTTTTATCGACAGAAGTTTTGTCAACAAAGCTTCTGTTGACAAAGAACGTCTAGACTACATCCAGTTCTCTCAACAAAGCAAGCCACTTTGTCGACCTGACAGTATAGGTGAAAAGGACACTGTAGATGCAATAACACCTTCTGTCGTCAAAAGGCATTATTCCTCGTAGAATGAGGTTTACAGCCATTGACAAAACTGCTGAGTTCTGTCGACGTTATGTCGACAGAACTCAGCAGCAGTGTAGACGCAGGTATAGTTTTGTCGACAAAAGTCCACTTCTTTTTTTTTTTTTTTTTGACAAAACCCTGTAGTCTACCCTTAGAGACTAATAGATTTATTAGGACATGAGCTTTCATGAGTAAAAGCCATTTCATCAGATGAATTGGGGTGGTGTTACAGGCACAGGAATATATGTAAGGAAGAATTTGCTTATGTTAATGAAGCTAATCAAGCCAGGGTGAAAGTGGGTTATTAACTGTGGCATGTTGCAATCCTTCTGATATACTAGTTGATTTACTGTGACAAAAGCTTTTTATGTACACATTGTGACTGAAGGAATTCAATATATACATGTCGCATTGCAAATTCAAAGAACTGAAGGGGAGAAGCTAGTTGTTACAACCAATATGAGGTGAATAATTACTATTGGAGACTTGACCATAAATAGCCTAGTTCCTTATGTAAGTGCAGAATATTTTAAATCTTAATCCTTTTATATGCTTTCTCTTTTCTTTCTTTATACTTTTTAGTTACCTTGGAGAATATCTCAACTAGAAGAATTGGGTCATCATAAATTGTTTGATTCCTTCTTTCTCGTACCAGATTCTGAGTAGGGATATTTGATGCTAGAAATACTGTGTGCGCACAAAATGCTTCATGGTAGTTGAATCTTTAAGGAACTACTTACTGATAATCCAAAAAACTGAATATGAAAGTTATCTTAGTTTTGTTTTAGATCATCCCATAATGATAAATGTATGTGTGTTCCCATGCATAAAATGAAATGTCCCTTGCGGGGCACAAGTTCTGGAAGTAGGTATCTTTCCCACACTGTGGGCTTAATTCTGAGTAGGCTGACCTGTCATGAATTGTGCTTTGCAATAATTCATATTCCTGGTGTTCAAAGTAGATGTCCTTTTGGTCACTTCTGTGAAATAAGCTGATAAAAATGACACCACTTGGTCACTACAATAATTTGGCTTCAAATCAAGGGTAGTTCTGATGAGTTGAGACTGTCACTGATAGAGTAGAGAAGAAGGATCTTGTCTTACATAGACATAATAGACAGTATACTCTAATTTTTGTTTGAGTCTTGAGGTTTTTCCATCATCAGCATTTCTTCTCTTGTTTCGGCTCCTCTTCCATAGATCTTCTGAGAATAAATGATCTGTAGGGATGAGGAGAGGGTTTGTTCTAGGGATGCTAGATACCGTATAATTGAATAGTTATGTAACTGCATGTAACCTTAGTGGTTACATGACTATTCAATAGCCTCAGAGCGGGGCTGGCAGCCAGCGTGCTCCTGGCTCCAGTCCCAGGGAGCCCTGCCACCCCAAGCTGCTGCCTCTGTATCAGCCAATTGAAAAAACAGCTCCCCATGCAGACCAGTTGCTTGCTGCCCCATGTTGCTGTCTCTGATACAGAGCTGCCAGCAGACACAAGGGGTCTGAGCTCCCAACAGACAGAGGCTGGTTGGCGGCAGCAGCCCCTTTCCACAAGGAGTCAGAGCTCCCAGTGGACAGAGACTGCTCGATGGCAGCAACCCCTCTTCATGAGGGATCTGAGCTTCTTGCGGACAGAAGATTCTCCACGGCAGCAGCCTCTGTCTGTGGGGAGCTTGGTCCCTCTGTGAACAAGCTGCTGCCACGGACTAGCCTCTGTCCACGGCGGGGCTCATGTTTGCTGCAGAGAGAGACTGCTCCATAGGATGCAGAGCAGCCCCTCTCTGTGAGGAGCTCAGATCCACGGAACTGGTGCTGGGGGGAACTGGCTTTTAAGATGCAGAAGCAGCAAGGGGGGAGTGTGTGTGTAGTCGACAAGATGAGCAGATAACTCCAGGCTTATCAGTTAAACATGCTGTTTGTATGCTTCAGAGAGGGGTAGCTGAGTTAGTTTATAACTGGAAAAACTTAAAAAAACAGCAAATAATCTTGTAGCACTTTAAAGAGTAACAAAACAGGTAGATGCTATTATGAGCTTTCATGGGTACAACCCATTACTTCAGGTGAATGGAGTTATTAAAGGTCCATTTTTTAAATAAATAGGAGAGTGGGGAAAGAAGGGGGGGGAAGGAAAGAAATAGTCAGTTAGTCTCCATGCTACCTGAAGCTGATAGAGAAGGTGCAACTTGTTATAAAATACCCTTTTTTTATGTCATTAGGGTGGGCAATGTAGTGGACAATCCAGGCAATGTCTTAATTCATATCTTTGTGATAAGAATCAAACCTGTAAATGAAGTTGAATTCTAAGGCTTCCTGTGTATTTGGCTTGTGGAATTGGCCTGAAAGAGTATGATGACTTTGAAATCCATTAATGAGTGTTTGTGTGTGTTTTCTCAAGTCAGTGGCCTATATTCTGCTGTTTACGAAAACTGAAACTGACAGAATATTTCTAGCAGCTCCTTCAGGAATTCTGTCTAGTTTTGATGTTGAGACAACCAAGATGAGGTGGGGACTTGACACTAGCAAAACTGATTAAAGACAAGACTACACTATCATGTCAGTATGACATGATACAAGTATAACTTGTATCTTCAGGTCTGCAGCATAGATATGGGTATCCACATAGCACCTCAGTATGCCAACATCTTTATGGCTGACCTTGAACAACATTTCCTCAGCTCTCGCCCCCTAACACTCTTCTCTACTTACGCTACATCGATAACATCTTCATCATATGAGCCCACAGAAAAGAGACTCTTGAAGAACTTCACAAGGATTTCAACAACTTCCACTCCACCATCAACCTCAACCTTGACCAGTCCACATGGGAAATCCACTTCCTTGAAACTACAGTGCAATTAAATGATGGACAGATTTCCACCACCCTATACTGGAAACCTGCCAGCCACTATGCTTACCTTTATGCCTCCAGCTTCCATCCCAGACACATTTCTCAGTCTGTTGTATACAGCCAAGCCCTAAGATACAACAGGATTTGCTCCGATCCCACAGACAGAGACAAACACCTATAGGATCTTTATAGAGCATTCCTAAAACTGAAATACCCACCCGGAGAAGTGGAAAAAACAGATTCAGAGCCAAAAAAGTACCCAGACATGAACTACTTCAAGACAGACCCAGAAGAGAAAGTATCAGAATTCCACTTGTCATTACCTACAGTGCTCAACTTAAACCCTTCCAACGCATTATATGCAATCTGCAACCCATCTTGGAAAATGATTCCTCACTGTCAGAGGCCTTGAGGGAAAGACCTATTCTCACTTACAGACAATCCCCCCAACCTGAAACAAATTATTTCCAGTAACCATGCTACACAGCTACATCATCAGCATCCAGGAACCCAGCCTCATAATTAACCCCAGTGCCATCTCTGCCCTCATATTTATACAAGTGAATTCATCACTGGACCCAGCCACATCAGTCACCAAATCAGAGGCTCATTGAATTGCACATCCACTAATGTGATCTATGCCAGCAATGCCCCACTGCAATATAAATATATAGGACAAACTGGACAGTGCCTACAGGAAAGAATCAATAGACACACATCAGATTTCGGTAAAGGGAACATACAGAAACCTTTTGGTGAACACTTTAATCTGCCCAGTCACTCATTAAGAGATCTTTAAGTTGCAGTTTTGTTACAGACCATTTCCACAAGTCAAATACACAGGGAAGTGTTGAAACTGCAATTCATTGACAAGTTTAATTCTCATGCCAATGGTTTGACTCCAGATACCAGATGGCTGGGACATTAGCACCCTGCCAAAAAATGAAGGTGCCACTGGTTCTTTGTGTAGATTCTGGTGTTCTTCCTCTCTAAATGCTAACTAATGATCCTTATCTGCTTCCTTTATCCGGTCTTTATAGATCCAGTTTTGCTTGTTACATACCAGCTCGGTTTTCCCTTTGATATTTATATACCCACTGCCTCTTTTTGTCCCTCTTCCTCCCCCCCCCATTTAATTTTGGTTCTGGACATCCAACACTCCCACGATCTGAAGAAGTGGGCTGTGCCCTCGAAAGCTCATACCATCTACATGTTTTGTTACTCTTTAAAGTGCTAGGACACTATTTGTTGTTTTTAAGTTTATAGTATAGTAAGTAAGTCACTCAGCATTATGAATAAGACACCTATTTGAGTGTTATAAATTACATCAGCTAAGAACCAGTGTGAACAATGCTATCTCTGTGGGAGAATGTCTGCTGACTTTTCAGGGAGGTGGATTTATTATGCTGACAGAAGAGCGCTTTCTTGTCAGCAATAGCATATCTTCCCCAGAAGTGTGGCTGTGCAAAGTAGCATTTCTAGTTTTGAATAGGAGATTAGACAGTGATTATTTGAATAGTTGTGTAACTGCATAAAGTATTATCAGTTACACAACTATTCAGTAGTATCCAGACGCTGAGTCAGGAGCCAGTGCGCTCCCAGCCCCGCTCCTGGGGAGCCCCCTGCCAACCTGCACTACTGTTCCAGTCCCCACCAGATAACCTATTAACCTTTCACATCCCTACTGATCAACTCCTTTCATTTTCATTTTTAGATTGAAAGATTTTTTTTTCTATTTTTTCAACTCCCATTTGGCTTCTCAGCTTATGCACATGTAAGAGAACTAAATTAGTGGAATAAATTGAAAGGAAGAAAATAACACCTGCATGAGATGTTACTGTTGTCAAAAGGTAGTTAGCACTTAAACTGTGGTTCCAGATACTTCTACCAGTTCTGTAGTTGGGCTTTCTTTGAAACTTCAGCAGCAAATACATTGCTTGAATATTATATTTGTATTTTATGCATATTATTTTGTCATTTTAAATTAAATTTTAATACGTAAAGAGGGTTTTATTTAAATACTCCAGTTTTTAAATTGAAAAAAGTATTCACCCTGGATTTTCTACTAGGGAAGCTTTTTTAAACTTCTTTTTGTTTTCCTCCTTCCTGCTCAGGATGACTGTCTTGTAAAAGTGTGGTATAATACAGATAGCTGGCGATCTGCAGTAACTCCTCAAAGTTCAAGTCCACAGAAACAATCACAAGATGTTGATTTTTCATTTGTTTACTTGGCCCATCCTCGATCTGTAAATGGGTTTTCATGGAGGAAGACAAGCAAGTACATGCCAAGGTCAGTAGCTTAACTCCTTGTAAATTGTTGTTAAATACCTGATAAACATTCTCTCTAAAGTTTATAGTAGGTGTCATTTTTAAAACCCACTATAGCTGTTCTTCCCTGAAGACCTTGTTTTAAGTCCAATTTTCTGCTAAACTGTGGCTGCTCTGCTACTTCAGTATTTAAAACAAGCTGCCTTATACGCCTCATGTTTGTATATTCTGAAGAGGTTCTTACATGCCCTCTTCACCAAAGTATGAGCACCTCATGTGAGTAAAAACTGTTACTTCCTATTACTCTGACAGCAAAAGCCATACAGGCAGTCCCCGGGTTACATGGATCCGACTTACATCGGATCCCTACTTACAAACGGGGTGAGGCAACGCCACAATAGCTGCTTCCCCCCAGCAGACCAGGGAGACGCGAAGCTAGCGCCCCTCCCCAATAGACCAGGGAGACGCGGAGCGGCTTTTCTCAGCAGACACCTCAGCTTGAGAATAAAGGACTGAGGGAAGTGAGGTGTGGGAGAATAAAACTGAGCTCTGGAGAAATGTTTGGCTAGAGTTTCCCCTACAATATGTACCAGTTCCGACTTACATACAAATTCAACTTAAGAACAAACCTACAGTCCCTATCTTGTACGTAACCCGGGGGCTGCCTGTACTTGTGTTTTTTTAAGACATGAGGGTGGAAAAGTCTGGGGTGAAGAGAGAGTTTTGCATTTTGCTATGGACAAGAATTCCTTCTTTTTATCCAGACTTGAACAGTTTTATACCACTGTTTAGGGCTTCACAAGCAGATCTGGAGAATATTCTCACTTCTGCAGTACAGTGTGTGTCCACCAGTATTGTTACGCTTATAAGAAGCACACGGGATCTTTTTCAGGGGGATAAGGCAATACACCGCATTTATTGATAATACAACAAAGTAGCATATGCATTTACCCCCCCCCCACACACACACACACGTACACACACACACACACCCTGCTGATGGAATAGTTACCAGACTGTTGGTCGGCCCAACCTGTTGGCCAGAGATGTCAGGTGCGAGGTAGGAGCCAGGTTCATGTCTGTCCGGACTGATGCCCCTCCTGGTCTTGATCTTAGCAGGACAGAATCCGAAGAACCATACAAGACACCCCATCTTCTATAGGATTTTCCTTCCATGCAAGTCTATGCATTTTGCCTTGTTAGGCCGTAATTAGTCATTCAGCATCACAATCAGTCTTCCTATGATATGCTTATTGGGAAGAAGTTGTTCTCAGTCATCTGATATCGGTATGCTGATGACCCCTCAGAGGTGTTGTCTTTATGGTGAAGGTTGTGATTGGTTTCCTATCAAGGGGTGCTTGCCTTTAGCTTCAGGGTTTATCAGTCTGTGCTTTCTGAGTTCTTTCACTTAGTTGATAATTATTTGGTGCTTCTCAGTCTTCAGCCCCTCCTCTGACAATTTGAACATGCAGTGGCCTTCACACTTATCTTTCCTAATACATTCTCTCTCTCATTCACGCAAACAATACATTTACAGAATTGTAGCATGGAACAAAGGGGTTCTTACATGCCACTTTAACAAAGTTACAAAGTCTTTCAACATTAAACTTCTTTCTATCTACTACAAGGCTATTTCTAACACTAATATCACTATGTATTACAAAATTCCATCCCTTTACTTTAACATGCTAACATCAAACAGAACTGGAACTAAGTTTAAGCTGCTTGGCCCTGTGTGAGGCCTACATCTTGTATTTAAGTTTAATCCAAACTTTTGCTATAACATACAGTAGAGTCCCTATCATCCGACCTAAACGGGACCGACACATGGTCGGATTACCGAATATGTCAGATGATACAGACTCTACTGCAGAGAGCAAGAGAACAGCTGATGCCGCTCCTGCCGGGGATGCCACTTCTGCCGGCATCAGCTGTTCCCTTGCTTTCTAAAAGAAGGTGCTGCTGCAGGGGCCCCTGCCGCTGCTGCCGGGACACTTCCAGGCAGGTGGAGCAGCAGCAGCAACTTCTCCTAGGCATCAGTTGTTCCCTTGCTTTCCAGGAGAAGCTGCCGCTCCTGCCTGGAAGCGTCCTGGCAGCAGCAGCTTTTCCTAGAGAGCGGCGGGGCAGCAAGCGGGGGGCTGTCCCCGAGAGCTGCAGGGTCGGATAAAGCGGAGTGTCAGATTACCGGGTGTTGGTTATCCATTCCAGTGCTACAGTAGTTAAGCACTCTTATCAAAATATCCATTCATGCTCTGTGTTTTGCACTTCCTCTCTTTCTGGCCTTTCAGAATCTGATTATGACAAAACTCGTATTTGTGTGTGGTGTCCTTGCTCATATATGCAAATACTGTTACCTTACTGTGTGTGGAAGACCCTCACTGGTCTCCATTTATTTGAGTATCCAGTACAAAATCGAAATCCTACCCTGAACTGAAGGCACAACATACCATGGTGGCTGGCACATTAGGACCTGAATAAAATTGTCATTCACACTGAATCCCAGTTTCCTTCTGCCTGTGTCATACATATGTATTTTAATAATGCTAAATGTAAATGGATACATGTAGGATCAAAGAATGTGGAATTATAGGACTATCCTGGCAAGGAATGACTTTGACAACGCTTTGAGGGTTGTGTTGGAAAGTTACAGCCCTATGAAATATGTTTAATTGTATATTTTTTGTATTCTGATTTAATTTTTGCCATTAAAAAAAACAAATTCCATCTTGATGGGTTTTAATCTAAATTGTTTGATATATTGACGATGATTAAGTGGCCTCCTTATAAATGCAAAAAATGTTCAGAATTGGATTGTAATGGGAAAAACTGATCTTACAATTTAAACAGAACCATAATGTGGATTACAATATACCGTAAAAGTAACATATTTTAAATCACTTTTTAAAGTAGCACTCTAAAAATGTGACCAAACAGATATTGCTGAAGAGTTACACAAGAAGTCTACAGAGATGCTTGTGGTGAATGTGTTGGCTCTCTAGCGCTAAGCAAAGCACTCACCATTGTGAATACTTGTTCAGATAGCAGCTAGCAGCAACAATTCCTGTTCCAGAGGCTGTGATCCAAGACAGCTTGACACTCAATTGCAATTCCACGTAGCACAGCCCATGCAGCTCACCCTGCCTGCCTTTTCTTTCAGCCCTAGTGCTGGGGAGAGCAGGAATCCACATTAATGTTTTAGTTCTGTCTGTGTTCTGGTTAATATAGATTTCATAGAGCCCTAGACAATCAGCTGAACGTGAGTTCCCAGTGTAACAACGTGGCCAAATGAGCTAATGCGATTCTGGGATGTATGAAGAGAGGTGGGGACATGTCCTTACCAGTTGGGAGAGACTCACTGCTCTGTCCCAGCAGGGAGCTGCTGCTGTTGTTGAGGGAGAAATGTTCCTCCCCCAGCCAGGCAGCTCTGTGCACAAGTCCTGCGCCCCTGGTTAGGCATGGCTTATTAAGCAGCTGTGGGGCTGTGCTGCTGCACAGCTTAGAGGGAACACTGTTCACTACATTTGTGATCAGACTACTATCAGATACTGTACTTCCAGGGTAAACAGTCATCAGCTCTCTTTTACTCTTGCTCATCAATCACATATCCACCAGCATTAACATCATTTTCTTTTATTGCTATGAGCTTGTATTCTACATACTGACATGAAATCCCATTGTAGCACCTTCTGCTTTTATACTCACAAATAGCCTTTTCATTCCATCCTCAATGTGACTATATTACCTGCAAAACCTAAGTTTCCTGTCCACACAATACTGGTGTCTTCAGCAGCTATTACTGCCACTTTCAACACAAAATCCGTAGACTATGCAGAAAAGGTCTGGGGTTAGTATGTAACTCCTTCTGTCAGCAACAATCTTAAACCATTACATGTCTCCACTGTCTATCCTGGTACAGCCCCTTGTCACACAAAGCATTCATTAAAATAACCATCTTTGTTGTCCTTTATTGGCTTTTTCTGAAGCCCTGTAGATCAGTTATGAATGAGTGCAACTGCAGCAGTCTAAGACCCTTCACAACTGTGTTCTCCTAATTCTATGTCTGATGTTGCCCTCCATTTCCTATGCTCTATGAACGCCAGCTTTAATTACCCACTTGAATTACACATACACAGGATACCACTGCTTCAATACCAAATGTCCTCCAAAAAGCTACTATATTGGCACTTGTAAAATTTATCATCAGAACATTTTTTTACTGTCATGCCTAGAGGAATTTGCCATCTGATGTTTTTTGTGTGTGGATGTGTGTACACAAAATAATACCTATTACTGTTTCCCTATCAACTGTGACCTGAATCACCAAAGTATGCCCACAGACTAGAGATATAACCACAACATGTTCCTATATCATTTGTTACATCCCCTTGTAGTGTCTATTAAACTAAATTGTAAGCCTACCTGTAAGAGAACTTGAATGTCCTGTATAGGTTTTACAACGCCTAGCATAATGGGGTTCTGATCTTGATTGGGATTCCTTAATGCTATTATAATGCAAATAATGTCTAAGCATGGAAGTGGTCCTATTCATTGTATAATCATGCTGTATGGCTTTGGCCATGTTTTTGCACAAGCTTATCTATGTCCAAATTTTCATATCTATAAAATAAGCATACCTACCTATCTAGCTTACAAGAGAATGCTGAGGATTGTTTATTAATATTTGTAGAATGCTTGAAAGTAACAAAACCATATAAAATACTGTATCAATGTACAGTTTACTTTTTTTATCTAAATGGATAGTATTCTGTGTTGGAACTAAAGAACAGATATTTCATAATTACATAAATGTAAGTTTGAGGTTGCAGAAAGCACATAAGGGATGAGTTCATGACTTTTCGCTAAACTTTAATATTTAAAATAATTGCACCAATATGTCTATTTCCGGTTCCAACATTTCACCTATTTTCTGGGTTTATTAGGTTAATTAAAGAATTTCACTTTGCACTTTTATATGCAGTCTAAGTTAGTGTCATGCACAATTCTGTCATTTTTTTGGTGAGCATTTGGATGCTCAGAATATGATTCTTCAACCTATCTAAAACTTTCTTTCAGTGGTGCTGTATGCAATGTACTGTTGACTTGCTGTAAGGATAATGTATGCCGTCTCTGGGCAGAGACTTTGTTACCCAATGACAGTTTATCATGCGCTGGTGGATACAACCATTGGACTGAACCAGTGAACTTAACAAATAACTTCAAAAGAAATGCTTCTAGTAAGGAACGAATGCAAAATGCTTTAGAGGTGAGAGCTGTTGGATAGTACTTGTCAACTTACAAAACCACATCTTTTTTTGTATTTAATTTATTTGCATAGTTCTGTGAATAATTTGTTTTATACTATCTTTGGAAAGAGCATTGAAAAAACATAGGCTTGAGGGTAACTTTTAGAATGAAGTAAAACTTATTTTCTTCAACTATCCACAGTATTCTCTTAGTTAATTTTTCAGCTACTATAACTTTCAGTGTGCATGTCAGCTTTGAAAATGAGCTATTTTAAAAAATCGAATAGTTGCAGATAGCTGGGCATCTCTGAGGGTATTAGTCACATAAATGGAGAGAGAACATATTGAGTAAAGACATGTAAAATACAGAAGTTTGAATTGTCTTAATATCTGCATGTGATAGCTGGGCTTGAACATGTGTCAGGATCACAGTTCCTTGCACAATAGCCCTCCAGACCTGAATGTAGGGAACAGGGATTTTAGGAGAATGATTACTACATCTAAGCTAGTGGTTATGGCTTAAGTGAGTAGGTAGGATTCTGTGGTCTGCAGTGTGCAGGAGCTCAGGCAAGATGTTCATGGTGGGCCCTTTTAGCTTTAGAGTCTGAGTCTGACATTGTGCTTATGAGGTTGAAAATGCATTCTGCCATGGAGACTTGCTGATAGTAGCCAATTAACTTGAATGTATGGTTTGTATTCCACTTGAAAAATGCTGTAGGACAGCACAGTCCACAGACCTCTGACTGCTGGGCCATGGTGGCTCTGGGGGCTGTTACACCACTCCTGCTGCAGCTGTTGGGAAAGGCATGTCCTGCCCTGCCTCTCAGCCAACTAGCACCGGACAGGGGTGAGATCTCTTCTTGGATACAGAAGAGTGCTTTGCAGTGGGAGGGCTGCACAGAGTCTGGCACGACAGCCTTCAAGCAGCTGCGACTTGGGCAGCAGTGCTCAGCTGGGAGGTCGTGCAGGGCTTTGTAAGGGGGGCGAGGCAGGCACTGGGGACTCTGGGGACAGAGTTAGTGCAGGAGGGCTCTTGGGGTGGGGGGCTCTAAGAAGTGGGGGGCTGGCATTGGATGGCTCTGGGGGCAGGGCTAGTACTAGGGATCTCTATGGGTTAGGGTCTTCTAAGAGGCAGAGGGCTGGCACTGGGGCATCCAGGATGGGGAGCTGGCAGTGGGTACAGGGCTAGTAGTGGGGAGTTAGAGGGCAGGCCTGGCACTGGGGTCCTCTAGGTACAGGGCTAATATTGGGGACTGGGGGGGGTTGTGCACAGAGGGGCTTGGGAAACAGGAGGCTGGCACTGCGGAGCTCTGAGGGCAGGAGGTTGGGTGCAGGGGATTCTGGGGGTAAGTGACTGGTGCTGGGGGGTTCTGGGGGCCAGGGCTTTTGGCAGATGGATAACATTTTATTTGGACATTTGCATATTTATTATTTGCATAAAGATTATGCAGATATGCAAAGCCAATGTTGCCAGTCCCGCAGAAGTTTATGTATGGGTTTGCTAGTCCATGGTATAAAAAAGATTGGGACTCACTGCCGTAGGACACGGGATTGTATTGGTTTGAACAAGATGGCTGTACAGGTACAGCCCACTACATTGGAATACAAAACTCTCTGAATTTTACTATAATTATTTAAGGCAATGCTGTGTTCATACAGATCTTTTACAGGATTCTGAGGACATTAACATCGTTTAATAAGTAGTCCCTTTTCTATGGGAGACACATTATGAACAATAGAGTTTGTAAATTCTCCAGTGCACTGTTTAATCTATAAAAGGTTAAAATTTCAAATGCTTTTTCTAGAAAATAATTTATAGATTAAATACTCCTTTTTTCCTTTGGAAACAAAATAAAATTGAGCTGTTCTCTACACAGTTAAATCTAAAGCCCTTTCGAAGAGGAAGGAGACGGTCTCTTACCCTCATAGCACATACTGGATATTCCCCACATCAGCAAGATCCTCATGAAGTTCATCGGAACACTCCTTTGCATGCAAATGCACTCTGTCACTTTCATATTGCTGCCAGCATCAATCCAGCCACAGGTAATTATGAGCACTTGTGACTTAAGATATATGAATACAATGCAGTCATCTCTGTGTAGGTTGTGTGGTCTGGGTAACCTGTTTAACCTTAATTTGCTGCCCTTTGTTGATACATTCTGATGGACTTCATTTACCTGAGCATGGGACCTCTGCTTCATATAGTGTACATTGTGCTGATTTGAAGAGCAATTAATGAATATTCTGTTTTCTGCACATGGTTTAATGTGTGATTCTGTACCTAGTCATTGCACACTATTCAAATCTCACTCCTGAAAGCAGAATTATCTGTTCCTCTTGGCTTTCTTTGGTGCTAACTGCCACAGTATCGGAGTGCTTCACGACAATACTGTGAGGTAAGGGTATATTATCTCCATTTTACAGCTGAGGATCTGACTGAGATTAAATTTAAAAGTATCCTCTCAAGTTAGGTGCTCCATTTGAGGCTCCTAGGATTTGATTTTTTTCATAATACTTAGCATTTTATATGTTCGATACACTGCTTTGATGTCAGCTGTGAGTTGCCAGCATTTCTGCAAATCAGACCAAGTATCTCAAGCCAGTTCCCCAGAAAATGAGTAGCACAATGAACGGCCAGAGCAGATCCATCTTGTGTCCTGAAAAATGAAGGTGAGGCAGAACATTGGAATGTGACCAGTACAGTTCATAAGAGAAAAAACTGTTTTGTATTACAACATTAATGTTTTTAATAGTTTCTTGTGCATAGTATAGGGAGTGCACACTCATGCAGGCATTTTTATTATGAAACCACATAAGACTTAGTAATGATATGCACCTGTCTAACCCTCTTCACTCATAGATCTTAGTCGTTGAGAAAGGAGGGAAAGTATAATTATAAAGTATGCTGTGATTACAAATTAAGATGACTAGAAATTATAAAATGCAATTGGAGGACAGAAGGGAGGATTTGAAGGCTCCTTAGGAATGATTAGTAAACTAGTGCAAACTGCAAAGAACTCACAATCTGCATTGTAGCTAATACAAAATGAAAGTGAAAGAGACAATACTTAATTTGACAGACCTTTTTAATAAGGTGGAAAAGAGGGTGGTTTTCAATAATATTACTGAAAATTAATTAACTGTATACTAATAAGTTAGCCTGCACCTCACATTCTCATTCATGTTCAGTTTGGTACGTTCCTTTCTTTAAACTAATTTTAATTCTCCCTTCTAATTCATCTTAATGCCAGATTCATTTTAAGAGCTGGCTCTCTGATGCACAAAATAATCTCATTCTAGAAGAATTATTCTTCTGTCTGCTTCTACATTACTCTTTTCATGGATCTTATTCCCTGTGCACTCTCCTCATTTTCCTTCATGTTTGTTTGTTTCTTGATTTCCTTGTTGTACTTTTTGCATAGCTGCCTGCTTGAACAGTTTAAAGACAGTACCAATTTCAGACAGAAAAGAGCAAATTTGCACACAAGCGCTTTGACAGTATGTAGAATGTATAGTTGCTCCAGCACACTATACTGCTTTATAATTGGGAAGTGCTTTATATACTTGTAGGTATGGGGTTACTTGCAAGAAGAGCCTGCTGCTGCCAGGTACGCTTTTTGAGAATTTTCACCAGGTCACACATGGCTGCACACTTGCATTCTATATTTCAGATGGTACAAAATTGAATGCCCCTCTGAAACTTAAAAAAACAACAAATAGTCTAGCAGCACTTTAAAGGCTAACAAAACATGTAAATGGCATCATGAGCTTCCATGGGTACAACCCGCTTCTTCAGGTGACTGGTCATCTGGAGCTTTCGTGGGCACAACACACTTCTTCAGATGACCAGTCACCTGAAGAAGCGGGTTGTACCCATGGAAGCTCATGATGCCATTTACATGTTTTGTTAGCCTTTAAAGTGCTGCTAGACTATTTGTTGTTTTTTAAGTTTCAGAGGGGCATTCAATTGTATAATTTACTTGGGTTTGTTGCATGTGTAATAGTAGTGCCTTAGTAGATTGGGTAAACTAATGATATTGGTAAATATCTGTGAGATCTCTACATTACAAAACACAATGTACACAGTGGGCTAAAACCACCTGAGATCTATAGTAATTTCTCCTGGTCTAAACTGTAGCACTGAGGGCTCTTAACAGAAAAATCTGCCCAGAGGAGATGGTTGTAGCAATACAAGACTACAAGCTGGCTTGCAGCCAAGTAGCATAACCCCAAAGTTGGTTGACGTTGGCTAACTAGAGGTTTTGTTTAGGTTCTGGTCTCTAGTGGCAGAAACTCCCTCAAAAGAGCATGTGACAATAGAACTACAGTACTTGTTTTTCCTTCCTTGAATCCCTAAGGGTGAAGCAGGGTTAGATTTGCAGATGGCTGTATAACCCTTTTTCACTGGTAGAGAGAAAAATGCTTTATCAGTACCTCTTACTCTTCTGAAAATCATGTTAACTTCTTTGTTGCAGACATTCCTCTACTCCCTTCTATCACATCTCTGAGTCTCAGTGAGAATGAAGAAAAAAGTGGGCCATTTGTAGTGCATTGGCTGAACAATAAAGAATTGCATTTTACCCTGTCCATGGAAGTATTTTTGCAACAACTTAAAAAGAGCTTTGAGCCGCATTCTTCAGAGACCAGCACTGAAGAGTCAAACCAGTTGGATGGCAAATCAGATGAAGGTACAATGTGTATCATACAAACATTATATTCTTTACAATGTGCTGTCATTTTGTTAGGTAAACCACATGTTTAAATTAGTTAACATTTCTTCTTGAGGTTTTGCATAGCTAAAGTTAATGCCAATTATGTCCTCTTAAATCCTTGCACTGCTAATCTGAATGCTTTTGTATAGGATTACAGTATTTTAATATGTAGGTGTTGGAGTATATGGTTAGTGAATTCAGAGAATTCTTCCATGCTAGTAAATACGATTTGTGAACCATTAATTCTTTGAGTAGTGTCCCTGTGGGTGCTCCACTGTAGGTGTATGTGCGCCCTGTGCCTCTAATCGGAGTTTTTCGGTAGCAGCGTCTGTTGAGCCTGCTCATGTGCTCTCCCTCCCTTGTGATGTGCCTCGAGGCTATCTTCTTTTCCTTCTCTTCCTTCTCAATTGCCTTTGGCCTCACACAGAGAGCAGTTGTCCCTTCTTTAGCTGTATCGTTAGTATAATTAGTAGCTGTTTTGGTTTGTTCTCCCTAATAATGTTTTCTTCTCAGTAACTCCTTTGCGATTAAAAAAGGAAAATAACTTTGTTTCTTATCCTTTCTGGGAGCATCTCACCCTATTTATTTCCCCCCGCCCCCAGTGTAAGAAAATAAACAAAAAGGGGAGTAAAGACAATTTGCTCCTGACAATTTTGATCTGATAATCTGATCCTTCCCCATCTAAAATGGGATATCAGTATTTCCCACCTCAGCAGGTATTTAGTCAAGAAAAATTAATAGTTGGTTTCCCAAAGTCTGAGTGAGGGATTGTTTTCTAGGAGTGGTTGTAGATTGTTCATGATACATTGAAGCGGTTGTAGCTGGGAGCCGTAGGTGATGACTAGTGGTGTTTTGTTATTTTACCTTGTTGGCCCTGAAGCAGGTGATGTCTAGCTTCGTCAATCTTCACATCCCCAGGTGGATATTTAAGTTTTAAGAATGCTTAATAAAGATTCTGTAGGTGTGTGTCTCAGGTATTGCAACAGATAGCTTTACTGTAAACTGGGGTGGGGAGACTTTAGGGTCAGGGGCTGCTGAGCTGACTCAGAAAAAATCAGTCAGGGAGTGCGCACAAGTGAGGAGGAAAAAAAGGAGAAAAAAAACCCTTCCCCATGAGGTGGCCCCCAACAGAGAGAGAGAAAGATGCTCTCCACATTCCCCTTGCACACCAGAGTCTAGGGTGGCCTAGGCTAGTAGATTTTGTGAGCTCCAGCTCCACAGGGCAAGGTGTGTGGGGGGGGAGGGGGTTAGAGCACTAGCGCAGGTTTCCCAATGTTGGGGAGCCCCGAGCCTCGGGGTCCAGATCCAGGCAAGCCAGAGACCACAACCAGTCTAGTCGACTATCGGATAAGCATGAATGACTAGTCAACTGTATCTGATACGCAAATGCTTATCAGATAGTTGACACACTAGTTGCTTCCCCTTTGCTGCGTCTGTCAGCAAGAGGCAGTAAGGGGGTGCGGAAGAGGAGGGAGTGCTTCAAAGTGGCAGTGCTATGTGGAGCCTGGGCCAGACCATGGGCTCCATGCGGTGCTGAGCTTTGAAACACTGCATACAGCCTGGGGCTAGCTGCATGCAGTGTTGAAAAGTGGCAGTGCTGTGTGGAGCCTGGGTCAGCTGGGGACTCCCCTGCTAACCCTAGGCTACATGCAGTGCTACCACTTGGAAATGCCACAGGAACACTGGGCCAGTGGGGGACTCGAGCAGTTCCCTGCTGGCCCCACGCTCCCTTGAGTGCATTTACCTTTGAAGTGTAGCAAACAGCAGTCAGAGGCGCCCTTCTCAATTAATCTAATAGTGCAAATTGCATCAGCTCTTCCATTAGGCAGTTAATCTTAATGTAAGTTACCTAATCTTGCCCCTAGGCGTTTGATAACTCACCCCTACTGTAAGCAATAGATCATGTAATATGTCCTGGATGGAAGCCAGGGGCATGTAGATAACAATAGCAGTCAGTAGGTTTCTGGTATAGGGTGATGATGATGTGACCATCATGTTTTTATTATTGTAGCATCCAGGAAGTGAATCTCTTGTGTGGATTGTTCTAGGCTGAGGTTGATAGTGAGGTAGAAACTGAAGAATTCCTCCAGGATTTCAACAAGGCCCTCCTTCCCATGGATCTATAGTGTCATCAATTTAGCATAAGTAGAGGAAGGGTCAGGGGGTAAGGATCTGAGGAAACATTGTTCCGGATCAGCTATAAAAATTTTAGCATATTGTGGAGCTATGTGGGTATCCATAGCAGTACCACTGACTTGAAGGTTAAATTGTCCCCAAATCAGAAATGCGTGTGCTGAGGCATCCTTGGGAATACTGTTCCTGACAGCTTGTAGTCTATACTCTGGTGGAATATTGATATAGAGATCTTCTACATCCATGGTGCCAGGAAGCTGTTTTCAAGAAGGTTTCTGATGCTCTGTAGTTTCTTCAAGCAGTCAGTGGTGTCTTAAAGTTAGCTAGGAGAGCTAGTAACATAGGATCTGAGGAGAGAGTCCACAAAGCCAGATAACCCTGCTGAATAGGTGCCAAAGACAGAGATGGTGGGGTGTCCAGAACTTCCAGGTTTATGGATTTTGGGTAGCAAATTGAATGATCCTGGTAAGTGATCTAAGAGTGTGTCTCTGTAGATTTGTTTCTGTACTATTGCAGGTTGTTTTGATATTCCTCAGTGGGATCAGAGGAAAAGGGGCCTGTAGAATGTAGTATTGGAGAGTTGCTTGGTCGCTTCCTGTTGGTAATATGACCTTCTATTGGCTGGATAACCGTAGTCAGAGAGTTGTTGTTAATGGTTCTAAATCCTGCTGGAAAGGGATAACAAGTGGAGTTCTTCAAGGGTCTGTTTTGGGACCTGTACTGTTCAATATCTTCATCACTGATGTAGATATTGGGATAGAGAGTACGCTTATTAAGTTTGCAGATGATACCAAACTGGGTGGGGTTGCAACTTCTTTGGAGGATAGGGACATAATTCAAAATGACCTTAGCAAGTTAGAGAAATGGTCAGAGGTAAACAGGATGAGGTTTAATAAAGAGAAATGCAAAGTGCTCCACTTAGGAAGGAACAATCAGTTCCATACATACAAGATGGGAAGCGACTGTCTAGGAAGGAGCATGGCGGAAAGGGATCTAGGGGTCATAGTGGACCACAAGTTGAATATGAGCCAACAGTGTGATGCTGTTGCAAAAAAAGCAAATATGATTCTAGGTTGTATCAACAGGGGTGTTGTAAGCAAAACTCGTGAAGTCATTCTGCCGCTCTACTCTGCACTAGTTAGGCCTCAGCTGGAGTACTGTGTCCAGTTCTGGGCGCCACATTTCAAGAAAGATGTGGAGAAATTGGAAAGGGTACAGAGAAGAGCGACAAGAATGATTAAAGGTTTAGAGAACATGACCTATGAAGCCAGGCTTCATGAACTGGGCTTGTTCTTGGAAAAAAGAAGATTAAGGGGGGACATGATAGCGGTTTTCAAATATCTAAAAGGGTGTCACAAGGAGGAAGGAGAAAATTTGTTCCTCTTGGTTTCTGAGGACAGGACAAGGAGTAATGGGCTTAAAGTGCAGCAGGGGAGGTTTAGATTGGACATTAGGAAAAAATTCCTAACTGTCAGGGTGGTCAAATATTGGAATAAATTGCCAAGGGAGGTGGTGGACTCTCCCTCTCTGGAGATATTTAAGAACAGGTTAGATAGACATCTGTCAGGGATGGTGTAGACGGAGCTTGATCCTGCCTTGAGGGTGGGGGGCTGGACTCGATGACCTCTCGAGGTCCCTTCCAGTCCTATTATTCTATGATTCTATGATACTCATGATGACAACAGCACCTCCATTATAATCCAAGAGGCTGACAATGTCAGAGTTGTTTTCAGATTGTGGATAGCACTATGTTCTTCACAGCTGAGGTAATGGGACATGTAATTTAGGGATGTCAACGTATAGTCGACTATACGGTTAACTAATAAGCTTAGGCCTATCAGTTAAGCTTGTCAAGTGCATGCACCCCACCCCCCTTGCTGCCTCTGTGTCACAGGAAGCAAGTGATGGGGGAAGCAGGAGCCAGTGCTGGGCAGAGCTGGCTTTTAAAACAGTCTCCCCCCTGCCCCAGCCCTGGCTTTACAGTGCACTCTTCCCCTTCCCTCCCGCTATTTTGAAGCAGTCTCTGTCTGAGGCAGATGCAAGCTCCCCGCGGACAGGGCCTGTTACCAGAGACCAGCCTTTGTCTGTGGCGGGCCTAGGCTTGCTGCACACAGGGACTGCTCTGGGAGGCAGAGCAGCCTTTGACTGCAGGGAGCTTGGCCCCCCTGCAGACAGAGGCTGCTGCCTCTTTATCAGTAGCAGCAGCATGGGACAGCTGGTCTGTGTGGGGAGTTTCTTTTTAAACTGGCTCCTGCCTGGCACCTCGCACCACTGCGTCTAATGTAGAGGCAGCAGGGTGGGATGCCGGGGGGCTACCGGGAAGTGGGGCCAGAGCAAACTGGCTGCTGGCCCTACCCCCAGGGACTATAGAATAGTCAAGTCACTGATAAGAATTTATGCGATTGCTTGTCTATTCAGTTACTTGATATCTAGCATCCCTAATGTGATGATGTTTGTTCTCAAACAGAAGTCCTGTCATTTTGATTGACAGGAGCAGTCAACATAGAATTCTTTTTCTTGTCTTATCCTACCTTAAACCAAAGTTGCGGTTTGCTTGTGCCACAGAATGGGAAGTGCCAGGCATGAGACTATTTCCTGAGACATGGAAAGGGGGGGGGGCAGAGAGCAGGAAGGCAAAGAGGAGAGTCACAGAGATGGGTCTTCTGGGGGAGGCAGCCCTCCCTGGACACTGCCCTCCTCCACCCCCCACCAACATCCTGCAGGCCATGGGGTGTCTCTGTAAGAGGGCAGTCCCTGAATCCTTGCTCCCTCCCCAATAGTCTACAGGCCGGGGGGGGACACTAGAAGTGGCAGCAGCCAATTAATTTTAATAAGCTGTGGTA